CCTTGCTTCGGCGCACTACCCCTGCCCCTCGACAGCTGCCTGCGCGGCAGGCTGCTAGCGCAGGAAAAGCTCCGCGTCTTGGCAAAAACCAGCCAAGACATACAGCTAACGGCAACTTTGCTTGACAGGCTCACGGACGGATGGATATATTTAACCTATCATCCTTAACACGCCTATTTTTCTGCTCAAAAAGAGCGGGGTGTGAAACAGCGCTACGTCCCGTACTCCCCGTGCCCGGTGCAGCTCGCACGAACCCGCCGGCTCCGCGGGAGCGCTCCTTTGCTGGGAGGCGCCGCGCGCTCGCCCGCTGAGACGGCGGCAGCGCAGAGGAGGGGCAGAAACGACGGACAAAGAAATCTGTCACTCAGGTTCCATCAGGTTCTCTTGAGCAGGGCCATGGTCTCTCCTAGGAGTTGGGGGTTTGCTGCTAGCGCTGCGGGCAGCTGCAGAGGGCTGAGGGAGATGTACTTTACCTCTCGCACCGTGCTCGTGGCAAAAGGGAGCTGAAACGGTGTGACGTGCTACGAACGGTTACTCTCCTCCTCTTAGGAAAGGCTAGTGCTCTCAAGCTAAGGTTTTCAAAAGGCCGGTGGGGGTTAGGCGCCAAACGCCACTGACATATAATGACACTGGTGAACGTATATTCTTTAGCTACTTCGCTACTCTGGAAAGTAAAGCTGCAGTCATACAGCTTCCTCTGGCTGCATTCCTCGTTCAGGGCTGAGTTTCCGGACACACAGTCATCACTCTCAACACGCAACGCGCATTTAGTACTCCTCCAAATACACTGGTAGCTCTAGAGGAAAAGAAGCTTTGAGTTAAAAAGAACTCTTACATTAAATGATTTTTTTCACTTCTGTAATTATTTTTTTTGTTATACTTCTGACGACTAACGATCGTTGGGAAACAGACGTTTTCAAGGGGAAAATTAATTAGTTTGTAGGTCGTTTAAGACACACTGCCTGAAAATAAAAAGTGAAAGACAAGGCTTACTTTCTAAAGACAGTATACCTACTTCTGTGGAATGGAAATAAGATAAATTCACAACATTTACTTATCAAGATATAATAATAACAATAATAGATGGTTAAATTCAAATATGACCACATTTTCAAGTTCTGCAGCAGGGTATACATGCAACTTTTCACTACAGCGAAGAAATGCTGGTCTTGAAACTTTGATTCAGTCATTCAAATTGTAACTCAGAAAGTAAGGGATTTTCTTTATAGTCAACATTTTTAAAATTCTTCGTTTTGCAGTACTAAGCAGTATGCCTTTGCATCCGTAACTCAATTTCACTAAGCAAATAACGGCGTCGGGTAAAAAGCCAAAGAATTAACTCGGCCTCTGTGGTACATAACGAATCAGTAACCTGCTGCGGTGACTGCGCAAGAGCCGTGGTAACACACCACAAGCCAAAGGATTTACTGCGCATGCGACCATGAGTCACCACTTCAGTCACAAAGGGCCTTATTCTGCGCTTCCGTGCAAAAAAAAACAAAAAACAAAAAACGCTTTTTTCCACAAATACTGTGTCTCAGTGGGCACACGTTCTTCATGACTGTCCACAGTATTTTATCGACAACAGATGAAGGTCTCTGGTCGCACATCAGTATTTCGTATCTGAGTTATTATGATTACATTTAAGATGATTCATGGAAAACGGGTCTTTCATTCCAGTGACTTTGGATTAGTTACTAATGCTCTTAGCTCATAGGGCAAGAATGCTATCAACGAAAGCTTTTAGTTTTGTGTGGCCTGCTTCTATTTCTCTTTCATTCCAACGGCTGGCGATTTAATCCTAGAGACCACTACTACAGTGCGGTTTCCCTCTGCTAAGTAATTACGCAGAAATAGCACGAGCGGACTGAAACAGTATCAGGGTGTAGAGCGCCCTACCACCGACGCTGCAGGACACGCAGACCGCCGAGCGCTGCTCTGGCCGCCAAAGCCTGAAGACAGAGATGAGAGCAGATTTTCTTTCCC